GTGTTGAACTTATTTCTGCAACAAAGGCTGTATTTCAACCAGGCAGAAAACAAAGCAAAGACGCCTTTCAGGTCTCAGAGGGGCCCCAAAACAAAGATTTAAAATACATGTCAGACGAAATGATCTCTTGACATCTTGATAAAAGCCCATCCACTTTTGTATCTTGCCAATCTAAGGAAAATGCATGTGATACCAGTCACCATTATTAAATCCAGTAGGTCTATTTTTTAAAACGTTTATAGTGGATGACCATTTGAATTGTACAATGTAATGTTTTGCCTTTTCTTTGCTCATCACAGGGCTGTTAATTCATTCTCCATGATATCAGTAAGTGTTTTAAAGAAACTCTCATTCTATGAATGGGATTTTAGTGTTGGTTTTTTGGCTAGTTGATTTGTGTCATAAGATTAATTGCATGACCAGAAGGGAAAAGATAAGCCTCTCCTCTCCGTACACTGCAATATCACATCCACAGAATCTCATTTCTAGGACTATCTTTAGCATCACATCATGGTTTTAGGACTTGAATGTATTTTAGCTCTAATGTGTAATATTTATATATTGTAGTCAGTATTACAATTAGCAAACTTAATTCCTGGCATTCCAGGAAAGATTTGAGGAATATATGGGAAAGGAAGAATCAATTCCGCTGGTAGATTCTTTCCCATAACCAGATAAATGTTAGATGTTAAATCTAACTGGACAGCTATTAGACTTTCCTTGAGAATCTTGGTTTTTATTTCAAGGAAAGTCAGCTCTTTTTAATTATATTTGAGAATGTTCATTTTCAGCATGACTGAGAAGCAAATTTCAGATGAGGGGATAGAGTGAAATGGTAAGAGTATATAAATAGGCTTTTCTTTCTTCTTCTTCTTCTTCTTCTCCTCTTGGGGAAATGGTCTTGTCAAAAAGGAAGTTTACTTCTGCAGCCCAGTGGAAATTCTCTGTACGTACCTTAGTTTCCCATAACTATGCAATTAAAAGCAATACAGAGTAGAAAAAACACAGCAAAATGTACATTCCTTCTTTAGGGAATATATAAAAATACATCACTTTCATGAGGTACATAATATATAAATGGATGTATTATGGGTTTATTGGGGGGGAAAAGGATGCAGAGAGAACAAATGACTTTTAACAGAATTGGACAGAGATGGTAGGCTGAACAAAATAGTTTATTATTATGCAATCAGAAGCAGTACTACTACTATTCTTCTTTATTCAAGACTAACACCAATTACTAAGGCTGAAAATGTCAATGCTGAGAATACAAGTATTAGTAGTATTACATATGTAACATCTCCATGTTGGCAGCAGAACACAGCTGTTGCTATTATAGCAAAACTGGTGGTAGAACAGAAAGAGAAGCCTGACAAGGGTAAAGAAAAATCACTGATATCAAAGTGGACAGTGCTTCTCTCTCTTAAGCGAAGTACAAAAATAAATAACTATAATGAATACATTTATTTATGTATTTATTTATACATGCAATAAATACTTTGAGATGCTATAAGGTTTTATTTTGTTTTGACATTTGCAAAGTGTTCTGCACCTATAAATTTTTCCCCTTCTATGTAATTATTTGATAAACAGAGTCTCCCTTTAATCTCAGGCTGAAAAACAGTAAAAAAACAAAACAGAAAAGCTGGGGTGTATATGAGAGTTCTTTAAAACAGGGGTCTCCAACCTTGGCAACTTTAAGACTTGTGGACTTCAACTCCCAGAGTTCCTCAGCCAGCAAAGCATAAGACTTAAAGTTGCCAAGGTTGGAGACCCCTGCTTTAAAACACCTTTTCCTGTCAGTTTTCATTGTACCTTTTTTTTGCCAGAACAATTAAACTGGCAAATTAAGGAATTTTTAATTATTTTCTTTAAGGTTGATGTATAAAGCATTAAAGTATACATATTCCAATACTGAAACCTTTTCAGCTTCCCAAACGATCTATTAAAAAACTTTTTTTTACAAACACTTGTTTATATTTTTTTTAATACAAAATTTCCAGGTGTCCCTCCCATAAATAACCTTTCTTCTATTCCTTCCAACCTATCTGCAATATTTCTAGAAAGCTTTACATCTTTATAAGCTGCACAGTCCAAGGTGGGAGCTGTTACATTGTTTGCTGATATATATATAATTAAGGAATTTAGGAGCCACCACATACACCAATGATTCATGACTGATAAAGCTCATTAGGAAATAAAGATTCATTAGGTTTATGTAACAGAGATTATAAAAATCTCAGTTTTGTCATGGCCAGCTTTGATGTGGGAAATAGCTGTTCTTATAATAAGGTCCAATTATCTGGCAAGTTCACATATTAGCCTTTTGGTATAGACATTATTTCTTCCATTAGAACATGAAGTAACACCCTGCTATAATGCAGCATCACATTGGATTCTGAAGCAGCATGCCATATTCTATCCAAGATACAGTTTTTGAACTTTTTCTTCTGCCAACATCACGATTAGAGCAGAAATGAGTATCTGTGAGCGAGATCAAACTTCATAAATCCAACCAATGTGGATTTGAATTCAGATTCTAATTGTATTTGACAACTTTGTTCATAGGTTCAGCAAAAGTTGTCAAATTTTATTTTTATCATTTGTGACTTATGTTCCATACTGTCCACATCATTTAAAGGTGAGTGCCATTCTTTTGAACTGAATCTATTTCTTTGGAGTTAAAAGAGGAAGTCATGCCCTGTTCATATACAAACCAAGGAAATTAAAAAATGTGGATTTAAGCTACTTTAGCTCCATCATTTCTGAATGTGCAGGAGTTGGTGATCCCAGGAAAACATGCAGCAGCTGTACAGAATTGCAGACAGCTGCTGCATTTGTGCCCCTAACAATTGCAAAGCATCTTTTTGGAATCAAATACAAAACGCTACACTACTCTATATGAACAATCCATTCTTTGCTGGAGAGACATTTTTATGGTGTGTGCGTGTGTTGCATATGTGTGTGTGCACACACAGGCATATGAAAGATGAAGCAGTAATTTCTTCAATTCAGGTTTTTTTCGGGGGGGGGGGATTCTATAGTATTCACACCAGTGATAAAGAAATTTTAAGCAAGCCAGAAAAAAATGATTATCTACTGGAGCTCCTGTGAATGAAATAAGTGGTTTTAATCATTCGATAAATACTGTTTTCCCCAAAATAAGACATCCCCTGATAATAAGCCCAATCAGGCTTTTGAGAGCATGGCAATAAGGCCAAGCACTTATTTCAGGGTTCAAAAAAATATAAGACAGGGTCTTATTTTGGGGAAAACACGGTAAATAAATATATTTTATTTAGTTAAAGCTCCATGGTAACTCTCGGTATTGGGAGACTTCAAAATAGACCATGATAGACATGATTCATTGTTATAAAGTTACTTTTGTAGTAGAAATGTATGCTTCCACTCTTGTTGCAACTGTTTTCCCATTAGTACCGTACACGTTGCTGAAAGCTATTTAAGCACTGTCTTATTGACATTTTTCTGTGGCTAGGAAATGAAATTAATTCCCAGTTTTGGATCTCCCTTATTCTTTCCTACTGAGTTGTTTCAAAGTGTATATTGTGTGCATAGCAGTTTGGTTACACTAGCGACTGCATTTTTGGGTTCTGTATATGATTTGGCCGATGGTTGGCACTGGAATGGTTTTTCATGCTTTTCTCTGACTCTTCCCTGGAAAAGAATCTCAGGACAATGTTGAATTCAATGAGATATGAATTCATTTTCTTTCATAACCAAGGAAAGATCCAAAACATTTGTGTGCTTTCAACAAGGGGAGGTACAGACGAGATCCATGGTATCTTGGGATCAGGAAACAATAAGAGATTCATGCTGTTAGTGGGTTATCTCCTACTTGTTTAGAGGTCAGCAGAATTGTCAGAGATGTTGGTTATCCCATCCTGTTCCTGCTTGGGTGATGATTTCCTTTTTACTTTGGCTGCATAGGATTGCTATGGTAGTCCTTGACTTAAAGACCACGGTTGAGCCCAAACTTTCTGTTGCTAAGCAAGACAGTTGTTAAATGAATTTTCCCCCATTTTACGACCTTTCTTGCCACAGTTATTAAGTGAATCACTGCAGTTGTTAAGTTAGTAACACGGTTGTAAAGTTAATTTGGCTTTCCCATTGATTTTGCTTGTAAGAAGGTCACAAAAGGTTAACATCTGACCCCGGGACACCGCAACTGTCATAAATATGAGTCAGTTGCCATGCATCTGAATTTTGATCACATGACCATGGGGATGTTGCAAGTGTTCAAACAACTGCAAGTGTGAAAAACCATCACAAGTCACTTTTTTCAGTATCATTGTAACTTCAAACAGTCACTAAATGAACTGTTATAGGTTGAGGACTACCTGTATTTTTCTTGAGCACTTTGTCAAAATATAAAGAACATGGGATATGCTGCGCTAATTTTATTTTATAAGAGAATTTATTCATATTAAAATAATTTTAAAAGGAAGTTCTTGTTTCAGGTCAGATGGTCATCTCTTAGATCAGAGATCTTCAAACTTGGCAGCTTTAAGACTTGTGGACTTCAACTCCCAGAATTTTCCAGCCAGCATAACTTGAGTTGAAGTCCACAAGTCTTAGATGAAAGCCATCTCAGGAAAAGACTGTTATTTTGTTACATTTGTGTACTAGGCCTTGAATTTTCTTTCTTTCCCTTTGTGTCTTTACCTCCCTTTTGGTGAAGATTAATCAGCAGATTAGAAAATCATTTTGTAGTTTCCCAATGATCCAATAGCTGAATGATAAAGGAGTGGAAAAAAAAATTAACTGGGTGCATTTTTGTACAAAAGATCTTACATTTGGAATGTAAAGAAAAGATCATTTCAGGCCTATGCATCTTTTCCAATTTTGAATAAACGCAATCATGTTTTCAGGGATGCTGTTGAATTTTGTCCATATTTAGAACAATACTTAATATGATGTATCATTTGTCCATTTGTTAATGGAGTATTCAAAGAAATAGACTTCAACATTTTTTAAAAAAATGTATTTAGTATCATTTTTATTAGTAGCATCCACACATTAGCTGAACATGACAGTAGGATGCTTCCATGGCTCATCAGATTCTTTACACAGAAACAATATAGAAATAAAGTGATCACCAGTGAGTCTCACAACTGACCCACTGCAGAATTCCCCATATGAACCCTTCTAAAACACAAATTGCTAACATTGTTTCAGTGAAAGCATATAAAGAAAGGAAAGGCAAATAGGACATCCTGTGCAGAATGCTGTAATAGGGGTTGAGGATCCAGTATCATCCAGTAAAAACAATGCCTGATTCAGGAAGATAGATGATTTTCCTGGCGTGGGGAGGGAAAGAAAGCAATTAGGGAAACAACAGGATATTTACAGAAAGCCAATATATGATTTCTCCAGAACTCTATACCAGTGTTATAGTCCAATGACAAGTATAATACATTGGCCAATTTTTTCATCTTTGTTGCTCTTCTCTGTACTCTTTCTAAGGCAAAGGTGTCAAACTGGCAGCCCACGGGCCGGATGCATCATGTGCAGGCCACATCCACCCCAGCTCTGCGAATGGGAAAAATGTCACAAAACGTCACGTGATGGCAACATGATGTGATGAGTTTGACATCCGTGTTCTAAGGCCTCAGCATCTTTTTTGTATCATGGGAACCAGAATTGGACACAATATGCCATGTGTGCCCAATACTAATGCAGTTTAGGGCAGTAATATTACTTCTCATGATCTTGATGCTATCCCTCCGTTAATTCAACCTAGGACTGCATTTATTTTTTTGGCAGCTGTGGCACACTGCTGAGTCATACTTAAGTGGTAATCCACCAGAAGACTTAGATCCCTCTCACAGACATTATTGTTAAGCCATGTACTGCCTATTCTGTACATGTGCATTTGATTTTTCATGCCTAAATGCAGGGCTTACTTTTCCTCCCACTGAACTACATCTTGTTGGGTAGGGTCCAATGCTCAAGTGTCAAGATCCTTCTGAATCCTGCGTCTATCTTCCAAAGTGTTAGTATTTTTCCTAAACTTGGTGACATCTGCAAATGTGATGAACTCCCCTTCTACCCCCTCATCTAGATTATTTATGAAGATTTTGAAGGATATTGTCTCCAATACAAAACCTTGAGGTACCCCACTGCATGCTTCCCTCCAATGTAGTTCCATTGAGGATCACAAACAGAGTTATGGATGGTCAGCCAACCACAAATCCATCCGAAAGTGGTATTGTCTATTCCACTTTTTTTTATCTTATTGATCTGTCCCCATCTACACACACACACAAACACAGCCAGCCGAGGGTTAAGAAAGTACTTGACACGCACACAGGTCTTTATCTCAAACTTGGCAACAATATAAGCACTGTCTGCCAAGAGCTTTACTGCAACAGATAACATAAAATTACATACGCATTGCAAATAGTCCAGCAAAACAATATCCCTTCGGCAGCTTCAGACGTTGTTCAAGTGACTAGCCAGAGTTAGTTTTTGTTCATCACGGAGTTTTACCAGCCACCACTCTCTCTTATATAGTCTCTGGGGTGTGGTCCAGTGACTCAGTTCTAATCCCTAACACGCCTCCTTAACTGCTGCAACCGTTTATCACACCTTCGTTGGCGTGCATCCAGGAATGACGGCTCTCCTTCCTCGCTCTCATCAGAGACACCTGGCTCCTGGCTAATCTCCTCTCCCTCGGCCAGCACCTGAGACAGTGCCAGAGGGGAGGGGCCTGGAGAGGGAGGCCTGACTGACTCCTCTCCCTCATGTTCGGAGCCTTCTTCCTCTGATGAGATAGGCTCAGAGGGCGGGGCCACAACACTTATCAAGGAGTAGGCTGTGGTCTACTTTATCAAAAGCCTTACTAAGGCTTCAGTATATTCTATCCGCAGCATTTCCTTGATCCACTAAAATAAAAGGCAATAAGATTTGTTTGGCATGATTTGCTTTTAACAAACCCATATTGGCTTCTAGTAATCACCTTGTTCATTTCCAGATGCTCACAAATCTGCTGCTTGATTATCTTTTCCAGGATTTTCCCAGGTATTGATGTCAAGCTGATTGGTCTGTAGTTTCCTGGTTCCACTTTTTCCCCTTTTTGAAGATTAGAACCACATCAGCTCTTTTCCAGGCCTCTGGCAGTTTCCCCATGCTCCAGGAGCTCTAAAAGATTTTATTCAGTGGTTCCGAGAGCTCATCTGCCAGCTCCTTCAGTACCCTGGGATGCAAACCATCTGGTAATCATGTAATCATGATAGTCATGTAATATAATCATCATTACATTATCCTACAGCAGAAGTCCTTGGAGTGCAATAAAAGTGACAATAAAATAATAATGAATTAAAGGAACACGGCAATGGAAATGCAAAGAAAAAAAAAGATTTAGGAATTTTTTTTTAAAGTTAAACAAGAGGTGATTACTTAAAACAGTCAATAAGTCTTTGCCTAATCTCACATTGCCTGAGCACTTGGAGCAGGCCTTTCTTGATCTTCTCAATTTCTGTCAGCGTACAACACAGCAAGTAGCTGGCCTTCATATTCCCAACATCTAAAGGACGTTATACAGTATAGTCAATGCCAACAGGCTGAATTCATCATGGAAATAACTGAGAAATGATAAATCTGACGTTATATTGGTGTTATATGATAATATCCTAATATCCAGTTCTGGTCCCTATATTTTGTATGAACTGAACTAATCTAAATCATCCTCAAAGTCAATGCTTGGAAAATGAATTGTAATCATTTTAATTGGAGATTACTAAGATGTAGATCGCTAAAGATAAGTTCTCTTTTTAAACAGAGCTATACTTGCTGTACCATCCAAACTGGTAAAAGGCAACTCTTTGGCAGAGGGTACTAGTGTGACTCTAGGGACAAAAAAGTATCTATCAACAATCCCAAGTTATGAATGTGATCCTTTAGGAGGAGGAGAACCCTTCCAGCATATGCCAAAGTCCTCATGCAGGCAGATGACTCACCAATGAGCACTTCTGTCTTGTCTGGTTTGAACTGCAGATTACTGACCTTCTTCCAGATGATTACAGCAACCAGACCTTGATTAAGCATTTCCACTACCTCACCTGGATGAGATAAAAACGAGAGACCAAATGTTAAAGACTTCAGTGGAGATATGCCCTGGGATTGAAAGAATAAAGAGACATAGCAGAGTAAGAAGTACAATACACTCTGTGGTACATTTGAATGCAAGGTAAACCTCTTGGAAACCTCCCAAGGAGGAACCAGCAGAAACATAAAGGGTCAGCAGCAGAAGTGATATTGTTTTGTAGGAATGATGGAGGATAAGACTGTATTAGATTCTACCTTTTTCCTACAGGTTCCCTCCCCCTTCCTCTACCCCCCCCATGTCTTCTTTTGGAGACAAGCTCTTATTGAGATAACTGGGGCAATGCTCCTCTGTCTCATTTAGTCCTAAGAAGCCAAACTGTGATATTGCAAGAAATAGGACACCATAAGCTACTCAATGTCACCCAAGCAGATGTCTGCTTGAACAATTAGGGTTTCTTTTTGCTGTCCTCCCCATCTCTTTTGCATAGTTCCATGTATCTTCCAAATCTTGGCTTTTCCAATCTTCAATAACAAATTAAGGAATGAAGAAAGAAAGAAAGAAAGAAAGAAAGAAAGAAAGAAAGAAAGAAAGAAAGAAAGAAAGAAAGAAAGAAAGGGAAGTCCATCCTGCTATCAATTAGCTTTCAATATTTGAGAAACAGAAGAAATGAATGCGGTTAAATGTCTGGAATCCCTTTGATAAATGCATTGATATCTGGAAAGTAACTACATTTGATGTTTATAGACAATTATTTCACCTTTACCAATACCTCCTGCTACATCTCAGTTTTCTCCTCCATGTAAGGAAGTACAGCATAGGGGAAAAAATCCATAAATCCTTATATCTTCTGCTGTTGGTCTTGGATAGAATAGTGGAGATCAGGATCGTCCTATCTGGTTCCAGAATTGTCTTTTTTTTCATTGTTAACTTTTCAGCAAAATTCCTGTAACCAGAATTTTCATTTATATGTTCAGTGGTATTTATTTGATTTATATCCCACCTTTTTTCCATGAACTCAAGGCAATACAGCTAAATCTCTTTCCTTCAAATGTCTCCCAAAATTAAACTACTACCAAATTCACCTAGTGAATTTCCATGCCTGAAAGTGGGCTAGAACCTGGATCTCCTACTCTAATTTTAACCATGACCATGTCCGCGCTCTAGATATTAGAGCAAACAGATTTTTCCTATCCTGAAAAGCCATTTGTCCTAATACCTGAATCTTTCATACCAGTCATACCATGTTATTACTAGTATGCTATGATTGACTATAGGTTGCCCACCTCTGCTATAAAGGATATTTTTAACTGTTTTTTAGAATTTTGATGAGATATTAGAGATAGCAATTATGCCAACTCCCAGCATTGTAAATGGTGCCCAAAAGACAAAGGGAACTTAGGCAGATGTAGGAATACTTGTGTAACTTGTTCTATAAAGTAATTCTTGAACATCTCCTTACTTACACTCATTCTATAATACATTGTTGGTCCAGAAAAATCAACACCTCATGTAAAGCAGTAGTTAAGATTTCTTTCCTGTATGAAGTAAAGTATAAGGAAAATTTGTAAGGCTTGTCTTTTGCCAATTTTGTACACATCATGAATAATCCCCAAGCATTACAGTAGTATAATCCTTTTTCAATAACATTCACCTTTTAACTCTTCTACAATTAATCAGAGGAAGAAAAAAGAGACAACTTATACTTTGATCTCATTATGAAAACTTAGTTTGAATGAAGTTGGCAGACTTAAGCATGCATATTTATACACAAAAAGAGATTGAATTTCTGCCTCAAGACACACGGAGGAGGATCCCACTGAAGAAAGGTGGGGGAGAGAGTATTTGTCAATATGCTTTAAACTTCTACATGAACTCCCACATTGTTTCAAGGACTCCCCCTAATCATAGAAGAATATGGTCACAAATGACTAGGCTCAAATTATTGTATTTTGAATAGATAATACAAAGACCCAGCTTCCTTGAAAACTCCATAGTTCTAAGCAAGGTGGAGTGAAAGTGAAGAAAAGGATATTCAGCAACAAAGTAAATGAACTCAGTTATAGCAATGATGGATACACCAATTCATGATACATGCATGACCAGGTGAGAAACAGATCATCCTGGAGACAATCTAACTATGGGATCACTAGGCATCGGCCTTGACTTGATGATATGTAATCACTCGATGAAGGAAAGGAAAGAAAGAATTAATGAAAATAATCTCTCTTACTTCCTCCAGCAGAAACATTGTCTGAAAAGGTTTAGCTCATACTAAGACAGAAAACATTATTTGTGGAAAGAAAATAATGTTTAAAACCTCTGACATTATGCTCCCAATTTATTTGAAATCAATAATTCAGTTTAACTCTAAAAATCTATTACATTTCAGAAAAAAGTTACACCACTGAAAAAAGTGAATTATGACAGTTTTTCACAATTATGACAGTTGCAGCATCTTCAAGGTGCTGCAATGTGATCAAAATTCAGATGCTTGGCAACTGGTTCATATTTATGACAGTTGCGGTGTTCCAGGGTCATGTGATCAACTTTTGCAAATTTCTGATAAGCAAAGTCAATGGGGAAGCCAGATTCACTTAACAACTGAGTTATTAACTTAACAACTACAATGATTCACTTAACAACAGTGACAAGAAAAGCTGTAAAATAGGGCAAAACTCACTTAACAAATGTCTTACCTAGCAACATAAATTTTGGGCTCAATTTTTGTCGTATGTCGGGGACTACCTGTAGTTTTCAGGAAATCAGATAATAATAAAGATTGTTCACTAACAATATGTTATACTGAAACCAGTGGTGGGATTCAAGTAATTTAACAACCGGTTCTGTGCCCTAATGATTTCTTCCAACAACCAGTTTGCCAAACTGCTCAGAAAGTTAACAACCGGTTCTCCCGAAGTGGTGCGAACTGGCTGAATCCCACCACTGACTGAAACCTAGTTATTTGCGCTGTCAGCTTTCTGGTTCAAATCCAACCACTTCTTATAATTTGCATCAGTGCCTTCATCCAATCATTTTATTAGATTTCTGTGGCAGCAATCTTGACACATTATCAAATACTGTATCCCTGATTATCATATATTTAATTATGTTTATATCCTTCCACATGTTAATGTGTATGGATCATTGATCACAATAAAGGACATTTGTATATAACATTTGAGTAGAAATGTTATAATGTTAGTAATACTGTTTGATAACTAGCCTTTTAATCTATTATGCTAAGAAAGTATGAACATATTGTAATCTAGCCAAATCAAAGCAAGTTTAACATTTATTTATTTTGATGGCATAGATAAACTTCTGATTAATTTAACTTCCACTGAGACACCATATACACTAATCTTACATTTCAGAACAGTAGTCAAGGAATTATATATTGTACCCAAGTGATCCATCCACGTGAAAGATCAAAAAGCCTAAATCAAGCTGTAGGCAATGCTTGTAGCCTTATCCCAGGGCCTCATTACGCCTAGTATTCCAAGTGTCAGATGAAGGTAGAACAGCCCAGCTGAAATAATGACAAACCATCTTCATCAAAAACAGAATGTGCATAATAATTGTCATTACTTGAAAAATGGTAGGATCTGGACAAAGTCAGAAAACACCAGTTTGTGGCTTAGCTAGGAAACCATAAGGCAATGATCTGTCCCACTAAGGAAAAAATAAAATAAGACAATTTGATGATTTCCTCCAACTTCTCCCAAAGCAGAGTCAGCCTATGCATTTATGGGTATTGAATGGATTTAAAAATTGGAATTCATGTTTACTATTTAGACAGTGCTAGTGCACTAACTATTTATACTGCTGTAATTATTAAATATTCCTACTTAGTTTTATTTGTATTAGATAGAAGTTGAATCAACTGAAAATGTGTAATATATGCTCAAGATACATTTGTCCCATTTTACAACCTTTCTTGCCACAGTTGTTAAGTGAATCACTGCAGTTGTTAAGTTAATAACACAATTGTTAAGTGAATCTGGTTACTCCATTGACTTTGCGTATAAGAAGGTCGCAAAAGGTGATCACGTGACCCCAGGACACTGCAACCATCATAAATAGGTACCAGTTCTAAGTGCCTGAAGTTTGATTACATGACCATGGGGTTGCTGCAATGGTTGTAAGTGTGAAAAATGGTTATAAGTCACTTTTTTCAGTGGCATTGTAATTTTGAACAGTCAACAAGTGAACCAGAGGTGGGTTTCAGCAGGTTCTGACCAGTTCTGGAGAAACGGTAGCGGAAATTTTGAGTAGTTCAGAGAACCGGTAAATACCACCTCTGTCCCCATCTATTCTCTGTCTCCCAAGTCCCAGCTGATGACGAGGAAATGGGGATTTTGCAGTACATTTCCCCTGCCACGCCCATCAAGCCATGCCACACCCACCAAGCCACACCCACAGAAACGGTAGAAAATTTTTTTGAAACCCACCATTGAAGTGAACTGTTGTAAGTTGAGGACTTACTGGTTGTAGTATGTCTACCTTCCATGAACTCTACTTTTCCAAAATTCTGGCCACTAGAGATGATTTCTAAACAATCCATTCTCATAGGCTTATATATATTACACGTACACACACAAACAAATCTGGGATAAAACAGGGCACTTAAAATATCAAATTAAAAAATAAACCTTCATTAAGAAAGTTAAATATAGTTTAGAAATAATTTATTTTAAATGCTATATTTGGCCAACAAACCTTTCATTTCATTGAATGTCATCTATAAAAGCCCATGTAACTAAGTTAGTTCCATTATTTTCAAGACAATAATGATATATCTGTTTCTGAAAATCATTAAAATCACTAGTGTTTCAACTCAAATTTGATTGCAATTAATTTCCCATTGTATACATTCACTGTCAAATCTTTTTTATCTGCTCAGCATCTTTTCCATTCTGGCACTCTGATCTTTTTTTTTTAATGTGGAGGAAGAAAGGCAAAACATTTGTGCCTTTCTAGCTCACTCATATAGTATAAACCAAATCATATCATATCTATGGAATTCTAAGCTTCATTTATCTTTATAAATATTATGGCTTCTATTAAACCATTTTATCATGAAAGTCAATTCCATTGGAATCAGTAAGATTTAGTTCCAGGTAAAAGCTAAGCCTCCAATGTATAATTCCTTGAATAAAAATGAGTATAACCTGAATGCTCTAAATTGTGGCCTTTTTATAGGATCAAATGCTGTTTTCCTCTGCAAAGTATTAATCAAGGCTTTTTTCTTTCCAAAGAATGAGGATCATTTTTACTAAAAGCCTAAACTGTGGAGGCATTTGGTAGGAAAATATTATTTCCACATTAGAAATGACTGCTGTCTATTTTAAGTATCTCTTTACACTAGTTGCCAGTAGCTTCCTTAAACATCTAAACATGTATTTTTAGTCAGCAGAGAAGAAAAAGTTTATATTCAATGAGATTTACAGAAAGCAAATAGAAATCTGACAAGCATATTATTAATTGTGCATGCAATTTTATAAATATTCAGTGGAGGTGTCCTAAAGACATTATAAATGACCAAATAGGTATCAACAACTCAATTATTCCAAATGCAGTAACAAGTAATATATTTAGCAACAGAACCTACATAAATCAACTGGATTCACATGTGAAGAATAAATGTTTAGGCTTGGAGTGGCAAATGTCAACTGTTTAGGTAATTATAACTGGTGATGATAAAAAAAGTGCAAGAATAAAGTTCACTGTTGTAGATTTACAATTGGCTGCACTGAATTTGCCAGTACAATTCTACCAGACACTGATCCTTAAAAAACCCCTTATCAATGTGCCTTCCAAAGGATGGATAGATGTTAAGAGTTACTGGTGAGCAAAAGAATCGTCTCCTCAAAGAAACATACCTATCTGAAAGCAGGGGTGTTTGTTGGATGTGCTATAGAGGATAATTGTAATGGAAGAATGGACTGGTGTATTTAAAAACAGAAAAAATGCAGACCCCAAGATCTTGCCTTCTCTGGACAAAGTCGTTCCAAACGGAACCGTGACTTATTCTAAAGCAAGCGGGAAGTTTCGGGACTGGGTCGGTGGGGAAGAGGCCTAGCCCAGGGCTCACCCCGTCGTCCGTCATTCTGCAACGCGCGTTTTTTTGTTTTGTTTTTTTACGACAACAGACGAAAGGGAGAGAGATAAACGGGGCGCGTGGCTGGGGAGGAGGTCTGTTACCCTTGCGCTCCTCTTATCTCGAAAAGTACTCCGGGTGACAAATGGGATGAAAGAGAGAAGAGGGTGGGGTTTTTTTGGACCTCGCTGTTGTTGCCTGTTGTTTTCAGGCATCCTCCTTCTCTTTCTTGGGTCAAAACTCGGGAGGGAAGGCAGGCAGGCAGACAGTAAGTTCACGATGCTAAATACACCCCAGCAACTCTCGTGAAACTGTATTAGGAAGACGGGTTGGTGGTCACGGGGGGCTACCCCACCGGCTTCCCAACTTTTTCTCGCGCCGAATCCCTTTGCCTTGAGCGCACGGACTGCCGGCAGCGGTTCTTGGCGGGGAGGCTGAAGGATCAAGCCCAACTCAGACCTTAGAAATTAGGGTCGATTTGATAGGTTGTTATCTACACTGGGCGGCGTTTACACTATTGGGTATGTGAAGGCTTTTCATAAGCTCTGCCTTTTGTTGTGCGCGTGCCGAGAGCGAAGCGAGCGCTCTTCCACCTTTTAGTACTCCCTCCGAAGACTGTAATTGATTCGAAAAGGTTTCCGACTACCAGATGTGGGGCTGGAGTGGGGACTATGTTGACAATGGGTCGTCGGGGGGGGGGGGGGGGTTTGGAAAGTAAGATACTGATCTTAAGGTTTATAATGGAAGGGTGAATAGGAAGACTCCCCCCCCCGCGGGGTCTCGGATTCTCGCTGCTCCCGGAGTGGAACTTTTTCCAAGGGGCAGAGGGAAAGCGAGGACGCGCAAAGATTTGAGTTGCTTTGGAAAGCGCCGGAGCCGCAGGACCGCGCGAAGCCTCCGGCGCTACAGCCTCTCATCAGCCTAATGGTCGCGTTAGCATACCAGGCAGAGTTCCTTATACGTAAACCACAAACAGCTAATGGTTAGAAATCCCAGCCTCCAGCCTCCGCCCCCACGCGCACCCATTCTGGACCCGTCTGGACTCCCCAATTCGATCCCTTTCAATCGGTGGCTTTTTTGCTAGATCAGCCCCGCGGCTTTTCGAAGCGCTGGCCGAAGTCGAGAGTTGTTCGCTTTCCTCATATAAATCACCCCTAGCAGCAAACTTTGGAAACTCGTCCCGACAATCCGCCCCCTCCACGCGCAGAGATAGACAGACAGACACACGGACGAACGGACACGCTTTCGTCCCACGCAGTTTGTTCCTCCAGTCGGAAGTTCGCCCTCTCTGACAGATTCTCGAGCTCAGGAGCCGCCTAAAGTTCCTGTCCTCTTCTTATTATTTTGACTACTTTTCCTTTCCTAAACCCCTCCCCAGAGAACTTGCCGCTTTTGCGGAAGAAGAACTCAAGCTCGCTTCTGAGCGAAGGGCAGACTTTTGCTAAAAAGCTCTCCTGCCAATTATCTTATCTTGCACTACCCCAAAGCGACAAAACTCGCTCGCACCTTCGTTTTTTCGACTCGGGTGGAAGTGTGTGTGGGGAGGGGGAAGGTTTGCTCAAAGACCCTCGTAGGAAAGCGAGCAACTCTACTTCCAGCCAATAAATCTTGCCCGGAAGAGCGACAGAAACGCTCGAGGAAGCTAGTTTTACCTCCTCGCCCTTCCAGCCCTTTAGGACACCTCCTAAAGGAAAGAAGAAAATAAAGACGCGGGGAGGGAGGGGGCACAAAGCAGCCCAAACACGTAGCAGTGGAAGGAAGACGCGCTGGTGCGAGGAAGGGAGAGAGACAGAGACACAGACACACACAGAGAGAGAGACGGAGCGCGCGAGTGAGCGAAGGCGGAACGGAGCGAAAAGGGAGGAAGAGACGCTCTTCGCAGCTCTGCCGCAGCCGGGACTTCGTCGCGGCGCTTGGCCAAGAAGCCGCGCGGCCGCCCAAGCGCCTCCCGCATTCAGCCGCACTTTTCCCTACCGCGATTTCCCCCCGCAACCCCTCTTGCTCTCCCCTGAATTGGAGCCGGTTTCCTTGGTCCTCCCCGCATCCCTCTCCCTCCCCTCCCGTCCTTTCTCTCTCTCTCCCCCCCGTCTCTTTTTCGACTCCCCGGTCCTCCTCCAACGCCTCTTCGAGCGGCCCTTCTGAGTCCCCTGCAGACCTCGCTAACTTGTGGCTGTTGTGATGCGTATTCCCGTAGATCCCAGCACCAGCAGGAGGTTCAGCCCCCCTTCCAGCAGCCTGCAGCCCGGAAAGATGAGCGAAGTCAGCCCGGTGGTGGCGGCAGCCCAGCAGCAGCAGCAGCAGCAACAGCAACAGCAGCAGCAGCAGCAGCACCAGGAGGCGGCGGCAGTGGCGGCGGTGCCCAGGCTTCGCCCGCACGATAACCGCACCATGGTGGAGATCATCGCCGACCACCCGGCCGAGCTGGTCCGCACCGACAGCCCGAACTTCTTGTGCTCCGTGCTGCCTTCACACTGGCGCTGCAACAAAACTCTCCCGGTGGCATTCAAGGTAAGGAGAGCTGGGCAAACCTTCATCAGTTCCCCCCACCCTCCGCCCTTCACGGTGGCCCAAGGCAATTTCCTCGCTTCCTCCTGGCCAGGGTAAGGGGCAAGGCGTCAGGGGGCAGTGTGATAAGTTAAGGCCTTGGCACCCACTGCGTGCAGTTTACGGGGATTTGTAAGTGTCGGCCACTATTCTCCAGGAGCACCTAAGTGCCATTGGGATAGTACTTTCCATCAGCTGGGAATTGCCCATCTTATAGGTACCTGGCCTTGTCTTCTTGGAAGTGGGGGAGATAGCCTTCACTATATGGCATCCTCCTCTCTGGCTGTTTTTAAAGCCTTGTTACTGGCACAAGTTGGCTTCTCACTTACCCTTAAATCCTTAGAAGAAGGAATCCTCTCCTCTTCCTCCCCTACCCTGGTTATTGCAGTGGCCAAAGGATCTTTCATTCTTAAAGAAAAGTGCAGCAAAGTTTGAACAGGCATTCATCTCATGCCTTTAGGAGAGGACTTGTGGTCCCCTTTAAAATAGGAGATTTGTGACTTTTGCCACATCAGAAAAGGAGGCACTGTATATTTGTGGCGGTAATCCTTAGCCTCAGTCCTTAGGCAGTTCCAGAGTCCTCTGTTGACTGTTAGTTTCTTTACTATCTAAGATGCCTGTTTATAATTCTCGATCAACATTTACCTCCTTCATATTAGCCCTAGACTGAAGTTCATTGGCTTATTATTAGCAAACTGTCTAGTAAGACTAATGCAAATTAGAGTGAGGTATTAATATATACAGAGGGCATTTTAAATAAAATGACCCCAGTTATTACAAAATGTTTTCCATAAATAATCATAAAGATAGGATTCATCTAATTTATCATCAGGGTCAGGTAGACGCTCCAAGATATCAGGCAAAATCTCTGAGGGACACTGGAACTGTTCTTTCCAGAATCAAAGACTTTTGGGGGTAAGCTGTCTGCAGTGTTTCCATCCTTTGGTCCTAGGCACCTTCCTGACCCATCCTTCCAATGTCATTTTAAGTTTCCTGTGTTGTTGTTTTTTACATTTAATTTCTCAACCATAAAATGAGTGCCTGTTCTAGAAGAACTTTGAATTCATTGATGTTGATCTAAAAATGGAATTGAGCAGAAGTTTCATTGTGGGAGGTGCCTCTTTTGCATCTGGTCATTTGTTGTATCTCTCCAGGGCATTAAAGAAAAAGTTCTGCTGGAAGCTCTTTAGACATACATCTTTAATGGAAGGTGTTTTGTTGATTTGTGGAGTAATGAGGATGAAAGAGTCTTTAAAACTAGTGACAGAAAGGAAAAGCTGTTGATTGGGTCTGGGTGGGAAGATTTCTGTTGGGGAGGGGGAGATTGTGTTTGACTCCTGCTGGGCAAATTAGGAAGTGTTTACATAGAAGGTTGGGTTTGGGGTTGTTTTTCTTTTTTTGGCCAAGGCAAAGAGAGTCAATATTTTTAACTTGATCACAGATCAGTGAAATGCTATTCAGAACCGAATCAAGAATGGCTTTATTAATATTTTACAGTAAACTCACACTCAAATTTTAGAAAACAGAATGTTTTCTCCACTTTCCTTTCTCTTGTATCCATTTTTACAATCCTCAGCTGCATCTCCTTATCTGTACTAAAGATTTATGCCTCTACTTTTTCTCTTCAATGGGATGATTCTTGTTCAGTAGAAAAGGAATAATAGCTAATACATAAGAGAGCCAAACTTTTCATATGAACATTACCATTGTACATCTATCCTTTATTACATAGTTTATGTACATAGAAACAAAATGTGTATATATGTGCCCCTATTTTATGTATGTATGTATGTATGTATATATGTATGTATGTATATCACAGAAAAATACACAGATTATAAATTGATTCCATCATATCTAACCCATATGAAGAAGCTTTCCTCTGCCCCCTGATATAACAACCAAAGCTATACTGAATTCTGAGTTTAAAATAATACATGGATTAAATGAATAAGAGGTCAGAATTCCCCAGAGAGTAGAATATTAGTACTGAAAGAGATATTTTGTGCATAAATAATAAACAAGAAATTATGCAGCTATTAGGGAAACAGTGAGTTTGGTTTGAGAATTTAGCTCAGGCTTGTATTTGTTCCAAACATGCAATGACCTCTCCAGTTGGAGATTCCTAGGAATAGTAGCTAAATAATGGAAGAATCTAATATGCCATGTGGTCTTGCCACAGCTTCAGTAAAATGAAATTCTGTACTTTAAAACTGGACAAAGTTTTAGGTACTTTCAGCTTAGTTCAATGGCCATCCGTTAAAGGATGAAAATGTTAATAAACTGAGTTTTTTATTGTGTGTTGGAAGGGTGATAGATCTTTCTTTATCTGAGTTTATCAACAGCTTGGATGCAATACCTAGAATCATTGAAAAAGAGACAGATCTTCTTTAAATCTGATTACTGTCATTATTCAGCATCGTAGTTTAGCATGGTAGAAGCTGCAACTGACAAGTTTAAAATGACATTCAGAGCTCTTGCTGTGTTTATGTGTGTTCATGCATAGAAACTTGATTCCTGCTTGCATATTTGCCATATATGTTCGAGGTTTCTCATCTCAAATGAAAAGGTTATGGCAAGTACAGGGAAAGTTTCCTTTTTGTAATAATGTCGATGTGTGATAAATTACAATGGTATCAGAATTTTAAACCATGAGAAATAAATATGCTCTTTTCAAATTATTACTGCCACCTGCTGAGTTTTAAACATTAGGGATGTGATATGAGAGTCCAATCTTAAAATGCTAATATGGAAGTAATAGTATCAGTGACATTTAATTAAGAAGCAGACCCGATATAATGTCTATACAATATACCAGTATCTATTTGTGGTGATTACAAAGACACTATACAAGTTAATCATATATGCCTATTTAGTCTGAACAGTAAAAAAAAGTTGTGATACAAAATATAAAGATCTGCATTCTTAATCTTTAACTGGTTTACTGGTTAACATGCAAATAGAAAATAAAGCAGTACAATTTGTTTATAACATACTGCTGGAGATAAAGACCCTACTGGAAAGAATATTTGTAAAATAAAATACTGGTAAAAGTTTCCACTAAATAATTTTCATAAAAGGATTTGAAGTTATTTGGGAGGTAGATTATTCTGAAAAAAGCAAGGCATGATTGCAAATACATGTATTAATTACAGGATTTAAAGTGGTTGCTTGTATTAGCTATCATGTGATGAATCCACTTCAAAGGCACATAATATATAGAAACGTCTTGGAAGAAGCAGCCTTGTAAGCTACATTGGTTTTAATAGTAGTTACTGAACTGCATACAGCTGCATACAGCTTTGCTGAAGTATGATTCAAGTATCAGTTGAGGGAAATGGATTTACTTAAAAAAGTCTTTAATTGGAAAGTAATCCCACATAGTAATAATGAAATGAAATGTCAGTTGGAAATGCATGTTGGCATGATGGTCAAAGACATCATCCACCATGGGTAAATTTATCTGAAGCAGTGGTTTGACTGGAGGCAAATATGTTCATAAGATTTCCAAATGGTCTCTCACTTGTGGCAGAGAGAGAGAAGGAGAGGGGGATGGAGAGAGAGAGGGAGGGAGGGAGGGAGGGAGGGAGGGAGGGAGAGACTGGGCTCTTTTAGGCTATATTTTGTTGAAATTGCATTGGTGAAGCATTACTGAAGGGCATCTTTATATTTGGGGGCTGGTTGAAGAAAAGTCCTGATTTATTGAGAAATAAATCTTATTTATTTTCTTATTCTAAAATCTTCTTATTCTAAAAGAAATAAGAAATTTCTTTTAGAAATTTCATCTATATTTGATTTTTTTAAAAAAAAAACTTTCTCCCAGTAAAACGTGAAAATTTTAATATACCTTTTATGTAGTAAATTAAGAGCTGCTGAAAAAACAGGTATTAAGTGAAAATTGTAACTGTTCCATAATATTCACGGTGGAAGCAATGTGATCATCTCCATCCATCCACTTTCCCATGAATCATTCTGTATAGTGGGGCTGGACTAGGAATCCAGCATTTGACCCACTGGTAATGTTTTAATGTTTCTTTTAGGGGCACTAATTATGTTTTCACAAAGACACTGCGTCCATTCATCATATCCCTTGCTCCAGAGAAGCCTTATTGGAGTCAGTGGGACTTTACCAAAGTAAGTGGCTGAAGGAATGTAGTCAGAATTATTAGTTATTCAGCTCTCTACATTTTTGCTGACCTAGATGATGCCAGTAGCAATAAAAAGCTTGTAAGTTAAAAATAACAGGAAAAATAATTACATTTAGTGTGAAGCATTGCAGCTATCCGGGATGTTTCTATTTCCACCAGACCCTCAGTTTTTCAGTTGATTTCAATAGCCTCAAGTTAAAGTTCAGAACATGAATGGCAAGCAGAGTGCTATTTTTGTAATTAAAAATACTGTAATTCAAATAAGTTACAGCAAAGACTTCATGTTTTTTTTAAAAAAACTTTAGCTGTACTTTTTACTGTTTAGCTACATAAAATTATTTTAGTAATGAATATTTTATATTATTTAAATTCAAAGTGTATGTTGCATTTTATAAAAGATACCACAGTATACAATGTTACTGTTACTCCTTTAGAATACGTTTAAAACATTTGCTTAGGATACTTGCTCAAATAAGATTTTTAGATGATATAAACTATTGAAGGCAAACATTGAAACAGTTCAGTTTTTAGTTTCCACCTTGATCATTGGACTGAAAATGGCAAAAATTAAAATAGCTGATAAAAATATAATTCTGCAGGCTTTTAGCAGATTGTTACTGTTATCACTGTTTTAAACTGTAATACAAAATTCCTTTAATTTCTAGTGTGGAAAATGCAAGTACTCAAAACATTGGAAATTATGTATATAGAAAAATATATGCAAGAGGCTAAGAACAATTCTTGTGGCTCAATTGGAAGTGTGCTCTTACGATGTTGTAGTCATGCTGTATTTCTTAAAAACAGCTGTACAGATTGGATCACTAAATGGATTAATTTACACCATAGTACATTTTACAACATGAAGGAGATTATATGTCATGTAAATTCTAGATAGCTTTAGAAGCATTCGTTATGTGTACCCTAAAAATCTGATTTCCATTTTTATTTAAATAAAGTACTTTTTACGAAGTAGCTCTGTTTAAATTATTAGATCTCAGGTACATGGAACAGAACCAAATTTTGTATCTTGTTGAGATGTTCTTAAGTCATTTTGCTGTGTTTGTTAAGTTGTTCTGTATTCTAGATCATATCTGTTTAAGTAACTAAGTCACCTTATTTTCAAGAAGTTCATTTCTTCTGTAAAGACTGGGGCGGGAGAAATATAAAGAGTGGGATTTGAGACAATCAGAACATCCTGAGATTTGTGCATAGTTACCACCTTGTGGAGGCTTTTTCCATGAAGGGTTTACCTCACTTCTTCTTGCTGGACGTTCTTGCTTCTGTCAAGGAAGGATCCTGGTCTTCTACTTACATTTTTAAAATGCCTCACAGAAAAAGTTTTTCTTCCCAAAGTCTTTCCTTCCCAAATCCAGGGTTGGAGAGATGAACTGCATCACTGTCTATGCATTTAACAGGACTGTATCTTCTATGTTTGCCTCATTTTCTGTGACTGCTGCTCTGTTTCCATATTGCTGGTCAGCTCCTCCTTTTCATATCTGCCTACAATAGGAGTTAATGATGATTGTGGTATGTGCAAACATATTCCATATAATAAGCTAAGAGGCAGATCTTTCCAAAATACATACAGTGAGTCATTTTGGGTTTCTAGATAGAATAAAGTAATATATATTTTCAAAATGGCATACCATCATTGGGACTAGTTGTGGAAGCCTATGATTCACTTTCAAGTGGGCTATATTTTATAGCTTGATTCATTCACTTTTAGCATTAAATCTAAGCCGGGTGCCCAGTTTGCATGTTGGAACTTGACTTGACTTGACTTGATTTGACTTGATTTCACTTCACTTCACTTCACTTCACTTCACTTCACTTCACTTCATTTCCTTCAAATCAGTGTTGAGTCCTCTGACTGCCTGGAGAAATTCCTGAAGTTTATTTGGCAAGATTTTAGAAGTGGTTAGCCCTTGCCTTCTCCCTAGGCTTGAGAGAGACAAACTGGCTTAAGGTCACTGAGCTGGCTTTGTGCCTAAGGCAGGACTAGAACTCATGGTCTCATGATGGTCTCTAATCTGATGTTTTCACCACTACACCATACTGGGTCTCTGGATCTAAATGTAGAATGCTATTAACAACTATTTGTTATAATTTTCAGTTGTATATGTCATAATAATATTTGTATTGTTATCGTCCAGAATTACAAAATAGCCCTGGGAATAGTTTGAGAAATTAGGAAAGGGAGAAGTTCAACTGGTTCATTTTCCATTATAATAACTAGTGCAGAAAATGTATCTCTGCGCTCAACTCTGGGCCTTCCCACATTTGACTGAAGAAAGCAGATACCATGGATACAAATCTGTAACCTACAGTATATGCACTTTACGTTATAATATACTGGTCCCATTTTGCAGCTAAGGAATATTGACATTCAAAGATAAAGTGGGATCAGATAGAATGTACAAAAATAGTAGTGCTACTAAGTATGTACATCATTATTTTTTCTCATTACTCTGCAACTAAATTTCCTTTTTTGAAATAATTGAAACAGCAGAGCATACAAGGGCTGCCCCCCACATAAATTAAAATTGTAGCACATGTAGTGCTTGTCTTTCACATGGCAAGATAACAACAAAATTGTCTTTCTTTCATATGAGAATGTAGTCTCCCTTCTCATTGTTCTTCACAAAATCAAATCTTTTTTACTGTACAATTTCTGTACAATGAAATAGAAACTCACCTTCGAGAATTAATATAAAGATGTTACAAGATATAAGAATAAGGGGAGGATTTGGACTGCTGAACTGGGAATTATACTATCAGGCAGCAACACTGACTTGGACAAAAGAATGGATAGAATTAAGAAATACAAAATTATTAACTTTGGAAGGACATGATTTACAACTGGGATGGCATGCTTTTTTATGATACGGTAGAAGTAAGATTTGGAATCATGTAGGGGTGATTTAATTCCTCCTTTACAGAAGTTATAGTTATTTAGGTTCCTTGCTCCCATTGGTCGGAAACTCTTTGTGGCAAATGATGAAAAAGATAGACGTCTAATAATGTGGAACACTTCAAAGTCCTTCTGATTTCAGCAGGAAGTTATTTACATGTCTATGACTGATTTATTCTTTTATCATCAGCTGAATTGATTCCTAGATGCTTAACCTTGAATTTTTACCCATTGGAGCCTTATGCTAAAATCATGAATTCTAAGTTGTTCATAGTATGGCTGAAATACATATAATGATGAAAAGTGCAGTTAGAAAGCAAAATTGAAAATAAAATCTGTCCAAGATATACTTAGTTTATTGTAATTTCTATGGTTATATTGGTTTCTTGGTTTACAAAGCTATTTGCAATATTGAAACAGAAATCCAAAATATACTTCACAAGTATTTTCACTGTTATTGTGTACTTTATTTCTGGCATCACAGAATTGAAAGTGTTATCTTATCACTGTATGAAATCATAGGAATAGACAGTTCAACATATTGTGATAAATGCAGATTCCAGAATCCATAAAGTGTATTTCTATTGTCTAAAATACTTAATTTTAAATGTAATTGAGCATCAATTTCTACATTTAGAATAATGTGGTACTGTTTGGTTCTGTAGATAATGCCTTATAATAATAAACAGCCTAAGGAGAAATTATGTTGCAGAAACAAAATTGTCAGTTTAAACTGAGATTCTTAAACATTTAATATAGTTCTCATATTTTTCAATGTTTTTTCCATAATAATGAAAACTAGAACACTTTTATCTTCTTTTGCTTTGTGTTATTTAAAACAAAATTAAACAGAGACTTATTCCATCAGTGAAACTTGGATGTGAAGACTATAGTGGAATACACAGATATAGGGATCCTAAGAATCAGCATATTGCCATGCTTCTTTCCATCTTCTTTCCTTTAGAATTAAAGCATGGGAGGTCACCATTTTATCTATTCTATCCCATGTGGTTTCTGGAGGTATGCTGACTTAGCAGTCTTTGAAAGCCAAGATCCGCTCTTAACCATTTTGTGGGGACGGTGTAATGATATCATACATCTGGGAGGAGGGGTATTGGGGAAGTTAAGCAGTTTTTCATTGGTTGTTTGATATATTTATTTTAGGGCTTATACTACTGTTTTAATACAGTTTACACTGAAAGGCAGCCATTTGCACTGCTTGTTTTTTTTTTTTAAAAAAGCATGATCAAGGTGAGTTCTGAGGGCTGCAAAACTGGGATTTTGCAAATTCATATCAATATGACATCACCTCCAGTGTCATGATTGCCAATGCTGTGACCTATTGCTGTAATATAGCAATTGAAGACTTGGTGTTTATAGCAATAGCAGTAGCACTTAGACTTATATACTGTTCCATAGTGCTTTACAGCCCTCTCTAAACTGTTTACAGAGTCAGCATATTGCCCCCAACAATCTGGACCCTATTTTCCCGACCTCGGAAGAATGGAAGGATGAGTCAACCTTGAGCTGGTGAGACTCGAACTGCTGGCAGTTGGCAGAGTTAGCCTGCAATACTGCATTCTAACCATTGCGCCAGCCCTATTTGACTATGGAAGTTTCATGAGCAACAAACCTGTGAAATTATAGAGTGGCCTTAACCTACCAGTTCATCTTGTTCAACTCTTGCATGCATTGGATTCAAGTCTATTGCAGATAGCCTATGTGCATAATTTATGCTGTAGAGCAGAAACCAGAGCCCCATATCCAAGAGGCCACTGAATGGCTGCTTCCTGTTACAAATGTGCTCATATCTCAAGGAGTGGAATCATAATCATTTGGAAAATAATGGTCATGATTTGCCTGAACCTTCCCCTCTTCTGCTGATATAATTAAAGGGTGCAAGTAACACTAACTAACAAGTATTTAGTGGTTGATTTGAGAAATTAAGAAATTATTGTTATGTCTTTATTGTCTTAGGTGGTGGCTTTAGGAGAAGTCCCTGATGGGACAGTGGTCACAGTCATGGCTGGAAATGATGAAAATTATTCTGCAGAGCTGAGGAATGCCTCAGCTGTAATGAAGAATCAAGTGGCGCGGTTTAATGACCTGAGATTCGTTGGCAGAAGTGGAAGAGGTAAATAATTTCATTATAGATTTCTTAAATCAACAACTGAAATCACAGTCAAGACCTAAAAAGGAATCCATTATCTATTAATCCACTACTATTAAACTTTCATTTATAGGTTAAATGTAGGCTGCAACATTCTTAAACTAGGCTTGGTCACCTACTACAGGATTGTTTTCCTATGGAAGGATGGATGGATGGATATGTGTGTGTGTGTGTAATGTATATGAATGGAAGGAAGGAAGGAAAGGAGGAAAGAAGAGAGGGGGAGGGAGGAAGGAAAGAATCTGGATTTTGAGGGGAGATTGCTTTCTGATGTCAGCAAATGGGTTGAAAGGAAGCATGATGATGTTTCTCTTTTGGTACACAGTTCACTTTGCAATTTTTCACTTATGGAAATGTTGAGGAGGAAAAAAAATCTATTAAACGTGTTGCCAGATCCAAAAAACAGTTAGGTTGTCTTACTGGATTCAGGGAATTGTTTTCAAATAAACATGCATAGGATTACAGTCTTAATAATAAAAACATTTCCTGGTTCTAGTAGAAGAATTATCATATATTTTCCAATTTTAGTATTGGGTGCTGGTGTATTTATAAGCAGTTTCCTCTGGTTTTGATGTAATTGACTTTTTGTGAATCCATTCAAAGTACTTTCTAAATAGGTTTTGAGCAGAAAAGTTCTCCTGCTTTTCTCTATCAACTTTTCTTTCAATTTGATAAAAGAGAATTTAATTCAGACATTCTTTCAAGGGAGGTTAGGAAGTTGAATGTTCTCACGGAGGTGGTGTAATGCTTTTGCATTTATTTAATTACGAAGAGGCCAAGCAATGCATATCTGTGATTGTGTGAATATACTCTTCTTCCTAAGCAGTTTGCAGCTTCCATGGTTTCCCAGTCTTCAATTAAATTCTAAGGGAAAACTCCACAAGGTATCACAAGACTTCTATGGGTCTTTCTCAGAAAAGGTTGTCTCTGAAAACCACTAAGGGGATGTTAATTAGACCCATTTGTAAAGGTTTTATGCCTAGACTTGAGCAGCTATATAAATGGGTTAAATAAATACACAAAATTCTTCTCCATGTCATGTTCTCAGTTACTATAGCTGGAAATCCAGAAGGAAGCATAGAAGGAGGCAGAAACAAGATTGAGGATTCTGGTGGATAGCCAGAGAAAAAAAATATGTTTGCAGCTGTCACATAGGTGAGAATAAGGGGGAATGTTGACTACCTATCTTATTTTTCTACTAAATATACAAAACAAATTTATATAGCTGTCCATCTCAGTGACTACACCACTGATTTAATGAGTTAGTCATTGCTCTTACAGAAGACCATCATTAATCCCAATATTGCTTTTATACCAATAAGTCTCTATTTGGAATTCTGCTAGTTGCATGAGAAATGAAGGTAATAGCTAAGTGGATAACTCAAAATAAGCAAACAAAATCCCTAAAGGCAGCAATACTTGCTCACCACATTGCATTAGTTGTAAATAAAATTTTGGCTCAAGTTAAAATTTACTCCACAACACTTCCTGAAGCAAGGATAGCGGTGCAAAGCTCAAGGTAAGGTAAACCTTGCTAGATTTGGCATATGACTTATTTCTCTGAAATAGGAGGTAAAGGCTAGTTATAAATTTAAGTACAATAGACAAGTCTGAAGGCACCGTCCAAAAAGATACCATGGCCTAGTAACTTTATGCTTGTGAGGAAGGCTGCTTCAGCATAGTGTTTGCACTTGAACTCAGAGCACAGGTAACTCTGGGTCTAATCCTGTGTTCAAAACAAAAACAGATACTGGAAAATAGAAACCTCAGAATTTTCTGGATATGTCATTAACACAAATGCAAATCTGGGAACAAAGGCATCACTGTCCACAATCAGAATTTCAATCAGTATCTTAATTCTTTCACTCAGATTGCAGAGCATTGCTGTTCTTCTTATTCCTAGCTGAAAATTTTACTTTTAAGAATATGATCAACACTTTATGCATCCAGGCTGATTTCAATTGTGAATGATAAAATACAACTTTAAAGATAATACAACTTAATAATAATAAAAAAAATCACTGTCTTTCTGGATAAGAAGGAAAGGCCTTACACTTTTTATAAGATTTTGTTCCCCTTTAATAACATTTTGATATTACATTTTGATTTGTCTTTATGTTGATTGATTGTACTTGAAAGATCTCTGGCTTGTAAAACATGATGGTTTGTATAGTGGTTCCATCATATAATTATTGCTGAAAACAAACATAAATATGATGGAACATGTGTTTCAAAATTCAGTGGAGGAAAAGGTTTATCCCCCCCCACTCTCTCTCCCTCCCTCCCTCCCTCCCTCTCTCTCTCTCTCTCCCCTTATCTTCTTTAACTGTCACAAAGGAAATGAAATGAGTAATTAGAGAATCATTGTGATTATTCCCCACATTTACATCCCATCAGCGAGAAGTTTACTCAGATCAATATGAGTAAAATCTAGAAAAAGTGATGATGTATTTTAGAAACTGTTTGACATATTTATTCAAAGAACTTCAAAGGCAAACAAAGGGTGTTTGCACAGTTTTCCTACATTAGCTTTCCATGTTTTGGCTACTTTCCCAAATAGCAATTTTTATATTAAAAAAAGAAAGAAAAATGATTGAAAAAGAAAGAGAGAGAGAGAGAAAGAAAGAAAGAAAAAGAAAAAGAAAGAAAGAAAGAAAGAAAGAAAGAAAGAAAGAAAGAAAGAAAGAAAGAAAGAAAGAAAGGGGGAGGGAGACAGACTTAACTGCTTGCAGACTTTTCACGCATGGAAGATGAAGAAAGCTTCTTTTGATGAAGTATAATTATGTCCAAACAGAGCTGACCCCCTCCTCCTCTATTTCTTATGATCTTAACAGAAGAAAGTAGGGTATTTCCTTTGAAGCAGCTGGGATTTGGTAGAGAATCCGAAATGCTAGCTGCATTTGCTGCCAGAGGCAGGATGGAGAAATTGGTCCAGACTTGTCTCTCAGACACAGAGCAGAGAAAATGAAAGAAAAGAGTTATCATGAAGGATTTTTATGATACTGCTTAAAATAGCAGGAAAGGAAACAGTAGTAGCAAACAGGAGCTCGTATGATCTACACACAGCAAGAATGTTCTTGGCTAAGTCGACACCGTATCTGGTCTGTGGTAGCCTTGTAGCCAAGGTCCAGGTAACCGTACTGAAACATACATTCAGATAAAAATCAGACAAGGTCAAACATGCAAATTTACACCGACTGAAGAACTTTGTTCTGGCAATCACAGATCAGATTGCTTTGAAAAACCATCTCCTGTTTTAAGGACCAGGCCCATTGGCAAGACTCCAGGGGACTCTGCTGCTCTCACTTGACTCAAAGAGAAAGGCAAGAGGGCTTTAAGAAGAGTCAACTTCTAGGAAGGAACCATTGCAGGTTACATAAACTTTGAAAATAGAAACATTTTTTTCAGTTAGTGTTTTTGTTTTCCTATATGGTGGAAATAGAATGTCCATACTTATTTTATGTGTTTCTAATTTTATTTCTTTCTTTTTCATTGAAGTCACAGTCTAAATTACCAGTCAACTTGCTGGGCTGTCTCTGGTCTCCCATATGTTCCTTGTTTATCATGACTTCATCATTTCTCTAACCTCACATGAAATCCTCTTCGGCATTTTTATCTAATCTAGCTGTGCAAATACTTAGAAAGGCCTGCTCAGCTGTTTACCTACTACCCTATGCCATCACTAACTTCTCTAATCACTTTATCCGCTTTCAGTTGCCTGATCTGGTCTTTTGAAGCATATTAATAGTTGCAGAAGGAGAGAGGAAATAGGAAGGCAGCCAAAGGAGTTGGTAAATTCCATAAGACATTTCCAGTCATGTGTTATTTCCTGTCCTCAAAGGAATACATTTTCCCTATAGTTATTTATCAATGCACAGATATGCACTCCTCCCTTTATTCCAGTTATCTACTTCTTACATTGGCTTTTCATATTACTTTTAATTATGCTGTAATCCGATATTATTTACTATTCGTACGTCAATTCAGGGAACATATCTACAGGGAATCTTAGATGTACAACCATTCATTTAGTGACTGAAGTTATAACAGCACTGAAAAAAAGTGACTTATGACCATTTTTCACATGACTGCTGCAGAATCCCCATGGTCAAATGATCAAAAGTTGATGCTTGGCTAATGACAAGTATTTGTAGCACTTGCAGTGCCCCAGGGTCACATGATCACCTTTTGCAAACTTCTGACAAGCAAAGTCAATGGGGAAGCCAGATTCATTAAAAAAACCACGTTACTAACTTAACAACTGAAGTAATTCACTTAACAACTGTGGCAAGAAAGGTTGTACAATGGGGCAAATCTCACTTAACAATTGTCTTGCTTAGCAACACAAAATTTGGGCTTAATTGTGGTCGTATGTCAAGGACTATCTGTACAAATCTGGTCTAACTTCACTATAATCAGTTACTTTAGATAATTATATGCTCTTAAACAGAGGCTCCAGCCCCATTGACAGAAATTCTTTAGGTAACTTCCAAGTAATCCTTGAAGCAAATTGTAAGAGTTAAATTAGCCTGGTTAAACTTTTGGCTTGGGTAGCTGGCTATAATTACGTAACTGCCTAAGAGTCCAAATTGTATCTTTAGCACACTAGGGTAATGTTTTGGCCAGTGGGCACAGGAATTCTAAGAACGTGTCATGACTGTTCTAGCTCAATAGCTGCAGTGGAAGGCTCCCCCAGCCCAGGAGCCATGGCATGGCCAACCACAAAACATCTGTTTCCAAGCAAGTAAACCATTGTGGCCAAGAGAAAAGTAATTTACTCAAGAATCATATAGAAATAGAATTTGGTTAGATGTTTTAAAACACAGAACACAGATAAAACTATTCAACTATTCAAAAAATCAGAAGAAAATATTGCTCTGTAGACACACACATATAAAAATACTAAAGTTTTCAACATCCCTTCTAACTAACCCTGAGCAGAATGTTCTCTACATCTTTCTACA